TCAAAATTAATCAGTGGCTACCTGTAGTTTTGAAAAATAAAAAGCTTACCAGGTCTATTCAATAGAAATACATGAACAAATGCCATGCTTAATCCTATAACATTTTTATAGGATTAAGCATGGCATTTGTTCATGTATTTCTATACTAAAAATAGTACAGTATAGTTGCACTAATTCTGATAATCATTTAATATTTTTACATTTGTGAATCAACAAATTTAAAGTACTGCTAAAATTCCAATCATAGATACTGTATTCAGCTACAAGATGTTCTTGGTTCTTCAGAGATTCCAGTCTTGATAAAGTGACTGTTTTTCCTATTTTGGCCATCACGATATTTTGCAGTGAATGATGTATTTAACATTTTAGTGTTGCTTATCTTACTGAGAGAAAGTAAGCTTTGGGACATTAAACTTTTTTTATAGTGCTTAAAGTAATAATTATGTCAAGAGAATAGTGAGTTGTTAGAGCAAAATCTTATACACAGATACATAGAGATTTATTTTTATTGTCATTAATATCTTATCACTATGTGAGTATCCTTCAAGTTTCCCAAATCTATTGTGCTGTTAAGATAAATTGTATGTTCAACAGCCAATGTTGGACATATTAGTTCTCTGAAAAAGTATTTACCACTTTTTGAATTTTTGAAATTGATTTTTTTGGATATCTTTCTTACTGAAGGTTATCAGAGCTTCATATGGATTCTAGTGATTGATATTGATATATAGGGAGTCTAAGTGATAGATTTGATGCTTGTTTTATTTATTGCATAAATTCAGCCAACATATAATGTGCCAGTGTGAAAAAGTAATTGCACCATAGTTCAGGCAAAAGGATAATTGTGTACTTTGTCACACAGAGCTGTTTTGGTTTCTGTCATCACAGTGAAGGTCTTGCCACACAGATTCTAGAAGCATGCTTTGCCCTACTCAAAACCCTAATTTTTTTAAAAAATGAATGCCTGTTACTTTACCATTTCTAAAGCTCTAAGGTTCTGTTGATTCTGTCTTGAAACCGAGACATAGTCTTCAAACAGAGGAGATAGAGGCCATTATGAATCTTCCCAAGAGTGGCCACCCCTTACTTGTTACTTATTTATGAAATTTATCTGACTACCTGAAACCAACCAGATTCTTCAGTGACTTATAGAATTTATATACAGGGAATCCCCGGGTTAAAAATGCCTGGGTTACAGACAACCCATAGTTAAGAACCCATAGTTAAGAATGGAGCCTATTGTAGCAAAATTAAAATTAAATACACAATGGTTCGAATTCATTACACAATGGTTTGAGTTCATCACACAATACTACTTATATAGTATTATATAATAATACTGTTCCAGCTTACATACTTAGGGTCAGATCTTGGGAACAAAATTTGTTCTTAAACTGGGGACTACCTATAGTAAAAACAGAATACAAAATCAGAGTAAAATTAATCAAAATAGCTACTAGAGACTCAAATTATAAAGTTACAGAAAATGTCTGTAGTTAATTCTCAAAGGCCCCCTGGAAGACCCATGTTTTCATCTGCTTTTGGAAGGTAATAAGGGTAGGGGGCATATATTCTTTAGGGGACAAGCTATTCCAGAAGACGGAAACTGCCATAGACAATACCTACTGTTGGAGGCCCTCATGCTATACCTCCTGGCAGGTGTAAACTTTTAGCTGGTGCTCCCTAATTGTCTGGCAGATCAGAAACTATTGAGGAAACATTGTCCCTAGGATACTTGGGTCCCGAGCCATGTAGGACTCTATAAATAGTAACCAATACTTGAACTGCATCTGGAAACCTATTGGTAGTCAGTACAGCTCCACAGCACAACTCTAACATGGCAGAACAACAACTGAATATGAATGCCACAGTGTTCTGAGTTTCTGGGTGGTCTTGAAGGGCAGCCCCATGTAGAGTGAATCACAGTAATTTAATTGAGAGATGACAAAGATATGAGTGATTATCTTCAGTGCATCCTGTTCCAGGTAAAGTTGCAGCTGGCACACCAGCCAAAACAACAAAAAGCCTTCCTGGCCACAATCTCTACCTGCTCTTCAAGCAGGAACCATGAGTCCAGGTGGGTCCCCAGATTGTGAGCCTGCTCTTTCCAGGGGAGCATAACTCAATCAGGAGCCAAGATGGTACAGTCCTGGAATCAGTTGCCTCTGAATCAACACCACTCAATCTTGTTTGTGTTGAGTCTGAGCTCCTTTTACCTGTTCAAGCCCTGACAGCCTCCAGACACCAGGTCATGACTTCCACCACATCTCCCAGTGGGCCCAGGATGGAGATATATAACTGAGTGTCATCTGAATATTGATGGTACCTCATTCCGAACAGATGGGTGATCTCTCCCATTAGTTTTCATATAGATGTTGGGCAGGATAGGGGAAAGAACTGAAGTTCACATGTAGACACTTCATAGTGAGTCCAACCTCACCCCACCCCACCCCACATTTGCCCTCTGGACCTGGCTGCTCAGATAGGAGTGGAACATCATAACATTGTGTCTCCAACTCTCAGCTTTCATAGCCATCCAGAACGATACTGTGATGAACAATACTGAAAGCTGCTAAAAGAACCAGGAGGACAAGGATGATCATACCACCTTCATCCAAGCCCCACTATAAGCCATCTATAAGAATGACCAGTGTGGTTTCCATCCTATGCCCAGGTCCAAACTCAGATTTCTAAGAGTCCAGATAATTTGTGTCTTCCAGAGCCCTCTGTAACTGCATCCTCACCAATTTCTCAATGTCCTTCCTCAAAAAGTGTTAGATAGGATAATAGGTATCCAATTTTGTTGGATCCAGGTCTAGCCTCTAAAGGAATGGGTAAAACAGTACCTCTTTTTACGGGGGGGAAACAAACTGGCATTTCCCATTCCCTTGAAGCATTGACTATAGTCTGGATCCCAGTCCCTTTCCTGACTGCTTTAATTAGCCATGTAGGTATTGGTTCAAGCCACAAGTCACAGAACTAAGATTGCAGAGGTCTCTGTCCACTTTCTGAGGATCCATAGGTTCAGAAGCTTCCAAACCAGCAGCACAAGATGTCAGCTCAGTAGATTCTGACCACCTGGCTTCCAGCTTGAAGTGAATGAAAGCCATTTTATCCACATTTTGCTCAGCTAGGCAGTCACAACTTAAACTGACTGGATCTTATGGCCCATCTTTTCCATAAGGGGTCTGGGGTGCTTTAAACAGTGTAGCTGGCAAGCATTCCATGGACACAATAAGGGCAGAGAAGCAGTTACACTTTGTCACCTTAACTCTATTAAAATCATTAGAAAATCAAATCATCTAGGACATTGCCATGAATTGCTGAACAACATCCAGGGATTTGCTGGCCTCCCTTGCCTTGGCTAAACTCTGTTCATGACTCCACTGTCAGTAAAGTGCATGAATACTGTTTTGTGCTATTTTTGTTCATAATTATTTTATACTATGGATGTTGAATTTATTTTCAATAATACAATTTTTAATCAAAATGTATCTAATTAATACTTTGATTCTGGAATACATTTCTATATACTTATTTTCATATATTAATCAGAAAGGAACACCTTCAATTTCTTCAATTCCAAACCACTTTTCAGTTCTACCTGCATCGAGTACTACTATTTAGGCTGATGACAGCTCCTACAGAATTTACCAAATGTATGACTCTAGTTTCCTATTATAGATAATCAGCTTCTTGGATCTGCTTGGCAGAATTTTGTGTTAATAATGGGGCAAACCTTCATTTCTAGATTAAATCCACTGCAATTCATACATGTCTAACAGCATATTCTCAAACCCATGGCTTCAACAATGGCAATGGCAGCCTTTGTTCATTTTCAGATGCCAACTGCAATATTGGTTCATGAGGAATTTCAGGTGATATTTTTGGTATCAAACAGATAGTTTCTTCTTCCGACTACTTAGTCTGATGGATAAATCAACTTTTGTTTCTATCACACAACCAACCTGGAGCTTGACCACCAATGCCTCCAAGATCAGATGGAAATTCCTTGCAAGGATCTTAGAGTCTCTGAAATTTGAACTCCACCAACTCACATCATTGCCTTCAAGGCCTAATAAACATTCCAGTTAATTCTCTCGGGCTGAATCATGTAAATAATATCAGACAGTCATAGCATTTTTTTAAAAAAATTCAACACAAAGAGGAAGCTATCCACAGATGCTAATTCACTTTATCTAACCACTGTGCTTTCTCAACCTTGACAAAAGATGTGTGGACTTCAACTTCCAGAATTCCCCAGACAGCATAGCATACCTAGCTGGGAATTCTGCTAGTTGAAGTCCACACATCTTAAAGTTGTCAAGGTTGAGAAATGCTGCATTAGACTTAATATTTTTGTACAACAGCAGTTTGCTAGACAGCACACTTTAGAATAGTGGAAGTTCTATGAGTGTTACTGAAGAATGTTTAAAAAACAAGAGTTAAATCAACATAAGCAGCAACATACTATGAATAGGGAGCACACTGTTTCAGGGATGGGGTGAGGGGAGATAGAAGAGAAACAAAGAGCTCTTTCTGTGACAAGCATAGGTGAAGCCTAATACATAGTGGTTAACAGTAAGAAACTTCCAATTAACATTTTTCTCATTTTTAAGAGGATAACAAAATTGCAGGAGTTTCTATATTGTGTTTTTAATGTACATTGACCTGAAATAGTTGGAATAGCTATATATCATTATCACAGTTTGCATACTCTTTCAGCTTTAGTCCTCCAGTTGTATAATGGTAGCATTATTACATCATCTTTGACAGTGTCTCTAAGGATTTCTGAAATATGCTATGAAAGCTGCATGCATGCATGGATGCACACACACACACACACACTCTTAATATATTTTGGTGTGATGGCTGTATAACAAAAAACTAATCTATATAACCAAGATAATAGATTATGACTGATTATAACTCCTTCTGCACAAATCTTGCCTTTGCAACATTTAAAAAAATTGTCTTCCTTCATGTCACCCTCCTTATAGGTTTCTCCTTCAGTGTCTTGAGGACTTGGATGCTAACCTACGAAAACTCAACTCTCGTTTGTTTGTGATTCGAGGACAGCCTGCAGATGTATTTCCTAGGCTTTTCAAGGTAAGTTTGGATTATTTGAAGAGGCCTTGAAGCAAGTACAAAAGTATTCACAAGATTCTGGAGTATACAGTACTGTGCAAAAGTTTTAGGCAGGTGTGAAAAAATGCTGTAAAGGAAGAATGTTTTCAAAAAAATATATTGTAATTGTTTATGTTTATCAATTTACAAAATGCAAAGTGAGCCAACAGAAGAAAAACCCAAATCAAATTAATATTTGGTGTGACTACCCCTTGGCTTCAAACCAGAATGAATTCTTACACTTGCACACTTTGTACACTGGCACAAAGTCAGGGATCTTGTAGGATTAGAATCAGGTGTATGATTAACCAATTATACCAAGCAGGTGCTAATGATCAATTTCATATGTAAGTTGAAACAGTCATTAACTGAAACAGAAACAGCTGTGTAGGAGGCTTAAAACTGGGTGAGG